TTTTTGGTTACATAGCAATGTTTGAGCAATTGGGCCGTTGGTACACCACTCAATGCGTATTAATATTATAAAGTTGGTAATAATGCATAATGTTCGAGTTCAATGACATTTTAATTATTTTTCAAACACAAAGTATGATATACAAAATCTATTAGCTATAAGTTCTAAATTCATTTGGGATTTACCTAGTCATGGGTCTAAGCAGAAAGAGACACAGACAGAGATCACGTTGGGTCTTGGGAATGTAGTTAGACACCCCAAACTCTAAACTAACATACAAGATTGCGTTAGAAAACTTAAACCTCATTTTAAAACTGGGTTAGAAATAATTTGACAGAAGATTATGGAAAAGAGTAGTTTATATGCAGCTAGCTGCAAACAAAAATTTGCATCGACATGGCATGGGACCACACATGGACACATCATCTCTCATATTGCCCTTATCCACCAAACCGTATATTTGAAGGGGTCAAGTTCAACTAAATGAATAAAAAGACGAAAGCTAATTACTTAAGTTTCCAATGACTAATTAGCATTAAGTTAATTACTTAATTGATCATTTTCAGTGGGGTTTGTTCAAAAGCTTCAAACAAATTGTCGGTCATTATGTGCGCTATATTGATTGTATTGTAACTTAGCCGTCATGTGATACATAGTTTTGAGATTTTAATTTCAAAGTTTATACTATAACTTAAAAGAATAAATATATCACATTTACCAGCATTCGAAAATTTTGTGTGAAAACTGAAAAAGAGGTACTGGAAAAAAAAACTTTTACCACAATTTTTGTAGAGGGCATGTAGTGGAGAAGAAGAAGATACACTTGGATTGGATCGGATCCTGGAGGGCATGATTTGCAGCCAAACCTCTAACGTTTCACCCCCCAATCCAATTTGGCCATTTGTCAAAGCATGCAACGATGAATGGGATGGGATCCCACTCAGGCCTGTTCACACGCGAAAAATAAATTCATGTTAAATTATCATAGATATACGGAGCTAGAATTATAAAATTATGAGAGGTGAAGTAGAATATAAGAATATAAAACACATAAGAGTTCAATAATTACACGTTTAGAGCTAAATATTTATAATTTAGTCATGTCTAATTTGTTTTAGAGGGAATTATAACTTAAATTATAAGTTGTTTATTACAAATTCTATATATTTTATATAATATATGACAAGACTCGACCCAAATTCCACTTTGAAATCTGAGCCGAACCATGTGCGTGTCCGACCCTTGGTGGGTGCCGGACACAAATGACCGAATTGCCCTTCTAACTAAAACCAAATTTATTTTAGGTTTGACTTCTGCCGAAAATCCGGCAGAGTCTCCACTGTAAATTGCTCATTTCCCAAAATTTCCACATGTCAACAAAGCATTTATATATATATATATATATATATATATATCCCAATCGTTCAGTATGCATTATTTCATTTAGAAAATCCAACCATAACTAAACGGCCGCAGGCCATACAAAATTTCTGGGGCAATATCAGAGCAGCTAATTCAGAATTTACAATAAAACAGTATAAATAGAAAAGAAATCCTACATAGTGAGAAGATAAGGAAGGGTAACGATGAATGCTCGGCAGCCCGGTGGTGGTGCTCTGGTTCACGCCTACTGTCTGGAGGCGCAAAACATTTGAAAATGTGAGTGGACAAAAATAAAGTTTTAGAAAATAGAATATGAACATACTAACCCCAATGTTAAAACCATTTAGAAAATTCAATTATATTCTTCTTATGTTATTGTACAAGAATTCCTAAAACATGCATATTTACATACATATATATATTATTAATCGAGCATTTATTCAAAACATCGGGACTTTTAGAAAACATTTTAAAGAAATAAATATTTTCCCACCTAAGTGTACCCATTATATACATATAACCGTCAATTCCTTGAGCTTATATTTAATTCCCTTATTTTCGTCAATTCCTTGTGTCACGTAGTGTGACACATCCTCACAGGCCTCGATAACACAAAGTCGACCTGAGCCGCAATCCTTGCAGGATTTAGGGGACATTTAATTCACCTGATTCGCATTTCTCGCTATGCACGGTTCGGATATCCCTACAACTCATGGGGCACTTTCAAACGTGCTGATGTAACCGATGGCAACAATATTTTCCAAAGGCAACATCATAACCAAGGGAACATATTGTTTGGGCCACAAATTGGCATGCCCAGCCGGCAAAAATTAGGCCCTTTTTTTTTTTTTTTTTTTTTTTTTTTTTTTTTTTTTTTTTTTTTTTTTTTTTTTTTTTTTTTTTTTTTTTTTTTTTTTTTTTTTTTTTTTTTTTTTTTTTTTTTTTTTTTTTTTTTTTTTTTTTTTTTTTTTTTTTTTTTTTTTTTTTTTTTTTTTTTTTTTTTTTTTTTTTTTTTTTTTTTTTTTTTTTTTTTTTTTTTTTTTTTTTTTTTTTTTTTTTTTTTTTTTTTTTTTTTTTTTTTTTTTTTTTTTTTTTTTTTTTTTTTTTTTTTTTTTTTTTTTTTTTTTTTTTTTTTTTTTTTTTTTTTTTTTTTTTTTTTTTTTTTTTTTTTTTTTTTTTTTTTTTTTTTTTTTTTTTTTTTTTTTTTTTTTTTTTTTTTTTTTTTTCCACACGACGGCTTTTAGAAAAAAACATGCAGTTGCCTGTTGGATACTTATCCACTGTTCGTTGGGCCCCGAAAAAAATCAGAAGTCGTTTTTAGGTTTTTAGTTTGTCGATGTTGTTTATTTCCACGTGGTTTGGTGTAACAGGTATAAGACAATAATAAAAACGACGTTTTTTTGCTTTGTATATTACATTTATATTATAAAAACACAAACGCGGTAAATGTAAAAATAACCTACGGACCGTCTCGTGTGTTCGTTGTTGTGGTGTTAACTATTTATACCATGACGCGGGGTCTCTTTACTTTTTCCCAATTGCGGTTCCTCTATTTATTCTGGCGTTGGTAATACGGCGGGGTTGCGCGCGTTGGTGGGTATCTGTACAACGACTACGGGGTGTGGGGCGGTAGTGATGTACCACGTCAGTAAGCGCCAATGATTAACGTCGTTAAGAGTTAGTTTTTTTTGTTCGGTGGCAGTTTTGTCTAATTAATACGCCGGTCGTTCTAGGTGCGTTAAAACGGACCTCCAGTTTCCTCGTTCCTTTCTTTTTATTACCGTTTGTTGCACGGAACCGGTTTGTATACATTATACAAGATGGTCCTTTGTCTACGCTCTTACACACTGCACTCCTTTTGTTGTTCCACACTGCTGAACCCGACGGTAAAAAAAAAGACACAGGGAAAAAAATAATCAATCTCTACAGAGAAAACTTTCGGTCTGTTTTTTGCGTCTTTTCTTCGTTTGCATGGTCAGAGCGGTAGGTGCGGGACTGTCAGATCCAGTGTTAAGTCAGGCTGCTGTGTGTATTCTTTCGCGGCTTTCTGTAGCCTTTTTTGATTCATCGTCTTCCCGCTTTCTTCGTCGTTACGTCTCCCTGCTGAACTTTCCCTTAAATTTAATAACTCCAAATGATCGGGAGCGACGCTGAGGAATGAAGAAGCTATGGATGGCTTTTTCCCATTGCGACGGCAACGGTTTTAGGCTTCGATTTTTTGCTACTATTGTTGTTGCTATTTGGCCCAACTCATTCTTGCTCTGAACCTTTGTCCCCCCCCCCCCCCGCCAGGACGCATGAGCTGTTTTGTTCTTGTGAAAATTTCTTTTACATTGTTAATTTTTCTGGGGCAGGCGAGACCAAAAGGAAAAAGGACGGAGAGAAAGTTAACGCAAGAAGACCGGAAAAGAAAAGGACGAAGAATCATTCTTTTATTATTTCCCAAGTGAGCAAATACACAGGATCATGCAGAGAGGCGAAATCAAGTTTCAAACTTGCTTGCCTCGGTTGCCGCCAGCTATCGCAGGGCACTATATCGTGTCCTTGTCAGCGAACGGTCTCAATCCTTAAAGATATAGAACGCTTACGGTGCGGCATGAATTTCGGTTATAGCTTTGTAGTTTAAGTTGGGGGGGTGGGGAGGGGGTTCTTTAAACCTTTACATATGGGTACGGAGACAACCGGAACGGTTTGTGGATTCGGGCAAGTCCGCCGTAGCTTCGTCCTTTAAAATTGGATCTAAGTGTTTTTTAATTAGAGGCGGGTCATCTGTCAATTTTTTATTTTTGCTTGTTAGGTTGCAGGTTGGATTTCTCTGAACATATGTTTTTCAGCTTTTCCTAATTGTAACAATACAGGAGATCAAAGAAATACAGTAGTGGTTGTAGGGTGGGTATATCGCATATAGCGACGGTACTTATCTATTTACGGCCGTTTTTTCGTGAATGTTCATACCACGAAGTATTCCTAACGATACGCGTTCGTCTATTAAAAAGATGCCCAAACTTTTTTTCTTTGATTTTGATCAAATTAGGGAGAAAAAACAAAAACCTGTTCAGAGATGAACTAAACCGCGCCAATCATAACATCATCAAGGAAAGAAAAATGTTTGTGTTTCTTTTATAAAATACGAAGGGTGTAGCTTATTATTATTCTGGGTTTGTGCTTATTTTGCTGTCGTGAAGATCCAACTAAGACATAAACGACGGTACCATTATATATTTAAGTCTGTCGTTTAATAAGAATATCACGACGTAGGTGTAAAGAGCGACGAATACGTTTTATGACGTCTTATTGAATATGTTTCGTCGTTGTTTAAACATATTATATTGTTTCTTCTTTTAAAAATTTTGGTATTAGTCTGCGTGTTGCTGTCGTAGTATTCCACGTACGTTGTTTTGCTTGGTTGTAAAATCTTAGTGTCATACCGCCTCAGGGTTGGGTTAGTTTACGTTTCATAGCCACTTAGACCCCCCCAGTTTACGAGTTCTAATATAACCGGTTTGTTTGTTTGTGCTGTTATAATTTTTTTCCCGAACATATTCACGTTGCAGGTGTTGGTTATTCTCGTAACCATGGTTTCCAAGACCAAAGTAAGTGACTCAGCTCCAAAAAAAATGCGAGGTAAAGGAGCTGTGGGAAGGGAATGTTTTAACTCACTCAAGCCAATGCGCCTTCTTGAACGAAAGAGAGTGAAGTTTGATGGTAAAGAGAGAAGGAGATTGGTGAAGTTTGTGTTCATCTGGGTTGCAGACAGAGAACCAGTCCAGCGCACGGAAAAACAATTTCTGAGGAGTCAAAGTCAGGTCGAGGTTATGAGCACAACTGCCTCGTGTTGTTGAAGAGAAAATTGCAAACAATCAAAGCAGTTGTGAGTACAATAAGGGGGGCGGGGGAAAAGCGGCAATTGGGGCGCGGTGGAGGTGGAAGGGGAAGGCAAAGGATGTGGGGCCCTGGGTTACATACTGAGATGCATTAGAAAATAGTCTAAAATGGCGGTGGTGTTGTCTGTTTATGTTTGTTGTCCGTTCTTTCATGTAGTTGGTCCAACGCTATCCATGAGTCCCATTGTGGACAAGAAAGAAGAAAGGGGCCCCTGAAACCCCAAGGAATATAAAGGAGCGATTCGCTTAGATTTCGATTTGGCGAAGGAAAAAAAAGCGCCATTTTTTGTTCTGTTTTTGGACACATGCCCTTTTTGTTGGTGGTCAAGGGGGGCCGGCAATAACAAAACTCTTACAAGTCAAGAGCCCCCTCCGCGTGTTTTTTCTTCAGATGCCAAGGAAATGGGTGAAAGGATTCAAGTCTACTACGACGAGATTGGGGGGCAAGCGGAATTGATTTATATCTTCAATACACTCAAGGAGTGGGAGAAATATAAAGGAGATTAGGGGAGGGGAAAAGGGAATACGAAAAGGACAGGAGGCGAGAAAGGAAAGTGAACAGAAAGAAAGGAAGAAAGAAAAGGGGAAAGCAAAGAAAGAGAAAAGAAGGGAGGAGAAATAAGGCAAACCCCTGCTGAACTGAAGTATATAAATTAAGAGAAAGCAGAATGGGGATGCCTTTGTAGCTTCCAAGGTTGATCCAAAGAATGTGGAGTCTGTTGCAGTCTCACCATTCACGATTAGTGGGAAATTTGGTACAATCATCGATTGTCTCGAAAGGGATATGGCGGGTTTGTTGGAGGTAGATGGGATCTCAATTGGAGGAACGGAAGGGAAGAATGGAGGAACGGATAAGAGAAGGGAAAGGACAGGGAAACCATGCCCTTGGGGGTATAGAATTGAGGTTCGATGCAGCAGCTACCTTATGGAAGAAAGGGAAGAACGAAGACAAAGAAAGCGACAAGATGAAGGAAAGACGAAAGAAAGAGCTAGACAGAAAAATGAAAGTATAGTTAGAAAGCTTAGACAGGACAATATGAAGGCAAACTATGTAACATCCCCCGATCCAAGATTGGTGTGGCAGAGGAAAGCAAAAAAAAAAAACAATTAATGGTAAAGCCTACACACTCGGTTTTAAATTGTATTAGTTTGATAGTATTTTTAAAGCTGTACTATAATCTTATTACGTCGTATGTTTCTATTTGTTCGTCGTTTTGTTGATAAATGATTTTTACTACGTTCGATAATATATTTTAAAAAACGGCGTGTTTTGAAAGACGAAATCTGTGGAAGCACAACTTCGGTTTTTGTTAGATGTATAGCAGTATTTAATATAGGCGGTTGAGGTTGGTTGCTGTGTGGTTGGTTCTGTGTTGTGTAGGTTGGTTTGTGGTTGTGTTTTAATTTTTTTGTTCGTAGTTTGTTACTGTTATTACTACGGTCGATAAGGTTTTCAAAAACGTAGGTGGGGGTGACATTTTGAAGATCTAAATCTGGATGTGGGAATCACAACGCTGTTTCTGTTAATTACCAGCAAGAAGACGTCGGTGTGTGGGGTGGTTTTTATTTATTGCGTCGTTGTAAACAACTAACCACGTCGGTTTAATTAACGTCGTTATAACTATTAATTATAACTAGATTTTATATGGGGCGTCGTGGGAAATATATAATGCGTAGTTTTTTTTATAAATAACGTCGTCTGGTGTTTTTCTTGTGCTGACTTTTTGTATGTCTTTGTGTTGAATGAATGGCAAAAACAAGGGCTGAAGGCTGGAGTTTATTTGGCAGTATAGTCCTAGTAAAATGGAATAAGTTTATAGTAACAGTAGTATGTAGGTAAGTAGAGTGTAAGTATATACGGAGTAAATGGAGTAAAGTAATGTAGAAGGTAAAGGGTATTAAGGGGAGTAAAGTAGTAAGTAAGAGTAAAGGTAGTAGTAAGAGTAAAGTAGTAGAGTAAAGTAGAATGGTAGGGAATGAGTAATAGTAAGGTAGTATAGTAAGTGTTACGTAAGTAGTAAAGTAAACGTAAAAAGTAAGTAAGTTATCGTAGTTTCAGTAGTAAGTAAAGTTTTACTGTAATTCAAGTAATGGAGAAAGTAATGATTTAAGTAAGTAATGATATCTTGTGGTTGACTTTGGCTTTTGTGGGGTCCGAGCCCATCCAGGGGAGTATCAAGAGGGGGGTATAGAGGGGGGGGGGGGTGGTGGGGGGGTAGGTGTTGCGTGTGGTGGGGATATGACCCTAGGCAATTCTTCAATTTACCTAGACCACAGGGAAAGTTTGCTTGACAATTGAGGGAAAAAGTGTAAAGGAACCTTCAAGAGGAGACTAAGAAGATGGAAGCTAGAGAAACCCAAAACAATTAGTAGAGGCGACAACATTACTAGTCAGCTTCCCACCTCATCCCCCAATTTTGGATCCAAAGCTAAACCGAAAACTAGCCCCTGTCAAAAACCCCAAGGTCTATAGCAAAGTCCCTGTTTGATAAAGCTGGGGCTGAAGGGAGAAGCTCCCTTACATTATGAGGATGATACTGCCATTTTTTCTTTTTCAGAACCGATGGGAACAGTAGACAGAAACCGGGTTTAAAGTAATACATGAACTTTGAATTCTATGTTTTTTTTAAACAGTAACGGGCGTGTATCGGAATAAAAAAACGTCGCGTTTGAAAAAGATACCACGCGATTTATAATAGCACCGTCTGTTGTGTTGTTTATTTAAATATCACGTCGTCTCCGTATTAGTTTTACTTGTGTACACCGCCATGCGTCGTTCGCGTACTTGTGGGTTTGAGACGCCGGTTTTGATGCCTGAACGACCGGCCTCGTAATATACAATTACCACGCGTTTAGTATTTTTTTTTACCAGCGTTTAATAGTTTTTTAAGACGTCGAATAATTCTACATACCGTCTTATGTTATGCGCTGGACCACGACGTTTTTGGTTTATTTTTTTATCCTGTACAAGATGTCTTTATATATATATTCTATTATTTAAAACATTAAAATCTGGGGGGGCTTCGTTAGATAAATCAAGATGAGGAGAAGAAAGTAGAAAGCAAGAAAATAAGATGAACAGAAGTGGGTGAAGAAAAAAAAGGATCGTAAGGGAGAAGTAAGACGAAAAAAAAAGAAAAAAGATGAAGGCCAAAAAAACAACAAAACGGAAGACACAGAAGGATGAAAGAGAAAGAACAAGACAAGAAGAAAAAAACAAGAGGAAGGAAAAGAAAAAGAAAAAGCATGACTAGTAGGAGGTATATTCTCATAACTTTAGCCGTTTAATTTGGTTTTCACAATTTCAGAATGCTGATCTGAATGTTTCTTTTTTGGCTTATAACCAGGCAGGTTTGTTTTCACATAAGACGTCGAATTTATTTTCTACGACGTAATAAAATTAGTAACAAGAGGGTATTGTTATTGTGTACCGGGCTTGGGTTTGAAGTTATGTGAACATCAGACGAGACTTTTTGTTTTAATTCCCTAAAACGGTGTTTTTATATGCGAATCCCACGTCATTTATTGGCGCTTTATGTTTTAGATACATGGGTGGTATTATTGCGAGTAATGTTTTATTAGTTTAATATAGCCGGTCGGGATGGACGGGGTGCCATCATCCTTACACAATCCCCTTCTTTGGGCCTATGTGGGGGGGGGTGGAAAAATAACACTTAAAGCCCCAGGGGAAAGAAAATCATGACATTACAACATTGAGAAGGAAGGTGTTTGGTGAAAGACGAAGAAAGATTTTTAGTAGAATTTTAAAGTAACTTCGTCTTGCATGAAGATTTACACAGTTATGTCAATGGCGGGGAAGGGAAAAGATAAAATTGGAGGCCGGTGGGAGCAGTAGTATAAAGTTAGGCAGTATAAATGTAGATATGGAGGTTTTTCCTAATCAAATATCAACACTAATATACGCCGTCGATGTGTAGATATGCGCGTTTTCGATTCGTTTGTTTAGAACCCTATCTGTACACCACGTGCTCTCGTTCTTGTTGTACAGAGTCTCAGTGTATTATGTAGTATTATATCACGTTGTTATCTATTTCAGATCGGTCGTGTGAAATTGTATACTACGCTCGTTTTGTGTATAAAATAACCAGTCGTTTATGTATATATCTAGGTGTGCTTATATTGGATCTTTGTGAGAGAGAAACGCAAATTGCTGCGCGGTGGTGGCTTGAATCGACCCCTGCTCAAAGTTAGGCACACGATGGAATGGGCACTAATGACAGATCACGACTAGTCCGGCAGCGTCGACTTCAGAGACAAAACAGTGGTGAACGAGTTTCATGAGTGCGTTACAAATCCAGGTTAGAGCTCCGTACGGATGTTGTTGTAGATTATGAAGGACCACTTATAAAAAACTGGTTAAACAATGCGTGTCGTTTGTAAAAAACATCAAACCACGGCGGGTCATCAAACATTCCTTTTCGCTGAGGCGTTGTGGTGTTAAACAACTAATACCACGTCGGTGTTTTTTACTTTTTTTATTTTGTTGTATTTATCGTATCGTGATGGATTCTTTTTTCATATTTATAATGACGGCGCGATTTTGATTATTTAAAGTATTTAGTGATTAAAGTCGTGTTGAAACCTAGTAATACGTCGCGTTTTTTAGAAATAATACGTTCGTGTGTTTTGGCGGTGCTGACTTTTTATACTTAACCGTCGTTTTTGATTTATTTGTCCCCAATGTTTTTTTTACTTTCCCCCCCGTTGCATTGTTTGTTGGTTTGCTGATGTGTGAGGGCGCAAAGAGGGGAAGGAAAACGTCTAATTTTCTGGATCCTCTGCTGGAAATGGTGGTGGTTGCTGTTTGAGTGGAGGGGTTCAAAAAAAAAAAAAAACATCGGGAACAGTGCGGCTTTAACAATTTAAATTCCCACATAGGGGCCAGACCCAGCGGCCGGTTATTTTTAAGCACCCAATTGGAAAACTTGCACGACACCACCCAAAGCAAACCCCCCAGCAGTGGAGCAGCTGCGAAAATGCGGGGGGGTGACATTTTTAGGTGACAGCGCGTCATGAGCGGGGACATATCGATGGATCCTTCCTTGGAGGTGAGAGAAGGTTAAGGTACAGAAAATAATAAAAATGGTCACAAGACAAAACATATATATGTGGTTTTTGTTTTATCAGACGGTCATTTAAATTACCGTCGTTGAATCGAGATACGTCGGGTTAAAAAAAAAAAAACGTCGGTGTCTGAATTCTTTTTATTTGTTGTAAAGCTTAATAATCATGTTACAGGATTGAGTTGTGCCAAGGGAAAGATCAAGCGCAGACCCCCAACAGCCATTGATGATACGTCAGGAAAGGGAAGAAGGAAAGAACGAAAGTATGGGCAGAGTTGTTTGCCTTCATCAAAATGGAAATTATTAGAGGGATTTTTGGAACACAAAAAACACTTGATATGTTTCTATGTATATATTTTGTCCTTATAATCTATAATGTACAAATTTTGTCTATAATAACATCCTTTTTTTCCCTGATTGCAAATTCGCTGGGGTTTTGGTTGGGGTTTTCATAATAGAAAAGAAAAAAACAAATTTGACGTACCTACCGATCGTTTGTGTGATTGTTAATAACTTGCCAACGAAGAAATTATGTAAAAAACCGAAGTAAAATGAATTTTAGACGTGTGGGACGGACATAAGACGTAATTTTGATGACAAATTTCGGCAAAGCCCCTCATGGTGTCCTTGTTCTTTTTTTAAAGAGTCCTTTGACACAAGTAAGTCGTTTTAGTAGGGTTTAGGTTATACCTTTAACGCGGGATTCGGTCGGTGTGCTCCTGTCTGTTGTTTGACTTGGGGTACGGTTCTTTGTCCTGTGACCCCGTTGTAGGGAATCATGTGGAAATATGTATTTTTACGTCAGTGGTGTGTCTGAGCCCCCCCTCTACTTTGTGTTTCCCCCCCTCCCCCCCCCCTTTGTCGCTGATGGCCTTCGGTTGCGTATTGTGGAGATTGATTGCCATCGCCCACCAGATGGTTTCTCTTCGCACCCCACAGGACGTCCCCCCTCCTTCTGTGTGGGAGTTACACCCCCCCTTTTTTGTCCCGTGCCCCCCACGCCCGCGCCCCCGTTTCGTTATTACTTCAAAGTCAACTTTGTGTTTCCTTCGTTGTGTTTTCTTGTCCGTGTCCTCGCACTCTTTTTTTGTTATGTGTTTTATTTTTCTTATTATTTTTAATCCAAATTCTTTCTAAGACTAAAGAATTTATTTACAATGACCACATTCCAAATACACCAACACGTTGAATAACTTACTTTATTGAAGTTCAATCCTTGATACACCAGTTTTCGTCTCCTTTTTCCCCTTAAAAACCCAAAAACCCCACCCAAAAAAAACAAAAAAACACCCCCATTTCCCCCGTTATCCCGCCACCCCCATGTTTGTTCCACCCCTTAGTTCCCGTGTTTGTATGAACTAAAACGTTTAAAATGACCAACCAAAATAAAATTGTTTTGATGAGTCATAGCATCACTTATATAGTTTGATGGTTTAGGGTTTAGGGTTGTTATTTATTAGGGTTTATGGTTTAAAGTATAATTTTGGGGTTTTAGGGTTTATGTTTGTTATTTATTAGGATGTAAAACCATAAACAATTTTTTAAAATTAAATTTTACAATATATAATTTATGGTTTTTTAAAGTTTAGGGTATTATTACTTTTAACGACGGTGATTGAGTCGTGGAATATTGAGTTTACGTCGTATGGTGAAAAATCCGACGTGGTTTCTCTTTTAAACGACGTTTTGTTTACACGTAAGTCGTTTATTATTATTTACAACGTCGTTAATTACTTAACTCCGACGTGGTTTTTCATAGTTTTAACGCCTTTTTTGATTTTGCGTGGTACATAGTTTTACCACGACGTCCTTAATGTAATAAGCGTCATGTTTAATGTTAAATTTTAACGACGCGTGTTTTTTCGGTCGATGTTTTAAAAAGCGCGCTTTCTTAAAATATTCGCGGGACCTAAAATTTTCAGATTTGGCTCTTATTTTTATACTTCTAACCCTGAACCCTAAAATTTTCAGATTTCGCGCAACATAACATTTCGCTCTCTCACTTCATCTCTAATTCAAAGTTGGGCCAGGCTGTGTCAAATCCAATTTGGTCATAATCTGTGAGCTCTGCCAACCTGTAAGTACAAACCCTCTCTTCCCCTTGTAAATTCATTGAATGATATATGTTTTGCGATCTGTTAATAATGTTGTTGGAGGTATGGGTTCATGGATTTTCTGTTTAATGTTTTCTCTTTGATCACATCTCTATTATGTTGATTTCATGTTATATGTTGGTTTCTTGCTTGGTTTCATGTCTATGTTGTGTTCTTAATGGGGTTTTGGGATCTTGAAAATAAACTGGATATCGACGCGTTTTCAGGCATACGACGACGGTTTTTACTTTAAACCGTCGTTTTTATTACTTATACACGACGGTGTTATTTAACTACCGTCGTGGTTATAATTAGACGACGTAAAATCCGTCGTCTATATATGTCAAATACGTCTGTTTTTGTTTAAAAACCGTCGTCTCTGTTGTATATTACTTGCTATTAGACTTTATATAATCTGCTATAGTGATGGTCATTGCTTGTCTTTTCACTTTATTATATATAATAGGGTATAGTGTCGGAGATGGATAAGTCATGGATGCACTCGGATAGAAGATCGAAGGCATATGAGTTAGGGGTGGAAGCATTTTTGAAACTTTTCTGTAGAAAATCTTCTAACTACCACACATATCCGTTGTCCATGTGTTAAATGTGTTAATTTGAAATTGTTTGGGGTTGGAATTATAAGGGATCACTTATACTTTAATGGAGTTGACCAAAGCTATAAGAATTGGACATTTCACGGAGAACCTTGGGAAGCAGCTACTAATGCTAGTAGAAATGTTGAAGAAGATGATGACCATAGTAGGTACAGTTTTGTGTATGAAGAAATAGAGATGGATGATAATGATTTTGGTGATTTTGGATCTGATCCTTATGAGTTTGCCAATGTGATTGGGGATGGAGATCAACCATTGTACCCTGGTTGTAGAAAGTACACGAAGTTATCGGCATTAGTGAAGTTGTATAATTTGAAGGCAAAATATGGGATGAGTGATGTCTGTTTTACAGAATTATTGATACTTCAAGGCGATTTGCTTCCAGAAGGAAATACAATACCGGCCTCTATGTATGAGGCAAAAAAGACTTTGTGTGCATTGGGGCTGAGTTATGAGAAAATGCACGCATGCCCCAATGATTGCATCTTGTATAGGAAGGAGTATGAGGATTTAACTCATTGTCCTAATTGTGGTATCTCAAGGTGGAAGGAAGGCAAAGATTCAATCTTGAAAGAGGGTGTGCCAGCGAAGGTGGTGTGGTATTTTCCTCCAATTCCAAGGTTTAAAAGGATGTTTCGATCACATGAGACCGCTAAGAGTTTGACTTGGCATGCTGCTAGAAAATCAATTAATGGCTGTGCATGAAACGAAAGTTCATGATGTTGACCTTATTGATTTCCGGTCCTAAACAGCCCGGAAATGATATAGACGTCTACTTGGAGCCTTTGATTGATGATTTAAAATCTTTGTGGGATGGGATTGGAGGAGTGTATGATGCACATAATGGAGAATACTTTACACTCAGAGCTGCATTAATGTGGACAATTAATGATTTCCCCGCCTATGGAAACTTATCTGGTTGTGTTGTTAAAGGATATAAAGCTTGTCCAATATGCGGCGATGATACACCTAGTCACAGGTTGAAAAATGGCCACAAAATTTGTTACATTGGGCATAGAAAATGGTTACCGATCAATCATCCATATAGGAGGCAACGTGCAGCTTTTAATGGGAAACCTGAATATGGCACGCCTCCTGAGCCATTAACCGGAGAAGAAGTGCTGCATATGGTTGAAGATGGTGACAGAGTTTGTTGGAAGAAGAAATCAATATTCTTTGATCTCGAGTATTGGAAATACCTTCCTGTGAGGCATGTCCTAGATGTTATGCACATTGAGAAGAATGTTTGCGATAGTATCATTGGTACATTGCTGGAGATCCCTGGAAAAAATAAAGATGGAATTGCTGCTCGATTAGATTTATTGAACATGGGGGTCAAAAATTGATTTGCAACCCGAGTATGGAGAAAGAAGTACTCGTTTGCCTCCCGGGCCTTGGAATTTGTCAAGAGCAGAGAAGAGAGAGGTTTGCAATTCTTTCTATGGTATGAAGGTCCCTGAAGGTTATTCTTCAAATATAAAAAATCTTGTATCTTTACAAGATTCAAGACTTCTTGGCCTTAAATCACATGATTGTCATACCTTAATGCAACAATTGCTCCCTGTGGCAATTCGTTCTGTTTTGGAGAAGCCTGCAAGGTATGCAATAACTCGTTTGTGCTTCTTCTTCAATGCTATATGTGCAAAGACTGTTGATGTTTCCAAGCTAGATAAGTTGGAAGAAGATGTAGTAGTTACTTTGTGTTTGCTTGAGAAGTACTTTCCCCCTTCATTCTTTGATATCATGGTTCATCTAGTAGTACATCTTGTCAGAGAAGTTCGTCTGTGTGGGCCAGTATATTTTAGATGGATGTATCTGTTTGAAAGATATATGAAAGTGCTAAAGGGGTATGTTCAGAATCGTACTCGTCCCGAAGGTTGCATTGCTGAGCGGTATATAGCTGAAGAAGCTGTAGAGTTTTGTACCGAGCATTTATCTGAAAGAAAACTGCGGTTTCTTTCCACACACACTTAGAATCAGGCCCCCTGTGATGGAGCTCTGATACCAATTGTTGAGAACACTCATAAGAAACTATAGCACACAACCTTGAATGAAAAGTTCTTATTCTCATTGATAACAAACTGCAGGCTTATAAAGCCTTTTACAAATAGATAAAATCAAAATAACAGCCCACGTTTGCAACACCCTAAAACGTGGTAACAGACTAATAGGAATTTGTTAAAAACACAAACAACTAGTCCCTAAAGGATAGGACTTATTAACAGACTGATTAACTAAAAGATTTGAATAATAAACCGTTAACTCTAACAGTCTTATCATTGAGATCATCAGCATTCAATTGCATTCGCTCTTCCAAGGACACCTTCGCAGCCTCCTGATCCTCCAGATCAGGGACGTTCGCAGTTGTTCTCATCCGCGTCGTTCTCCTTGGGTTCGTTCTCATTACCCCCAAAACTAGCACGCCTCTTCATCTCGAAAGCTATTTCTTCTTATCTTCTTTCATTAGCCTGTTCTGCGAGCCTTCGACTCTTCCTTTATGCCTTCCTCTTTCTCTTGTGGGAGGTCTCGTGTCAGGGGCCGGATAAAGCTGGAGCTCCAACCCATTTGAACTTTTTTTCCATGGTAACAAAGAGAGCATTGAGGAAAGAAACAGCGTGTTGCAGAAGCTCTGCTTTCGCTTTTGCTTTTATAATTAATGTAATACATTTCAAGTTGGCTGGACAAGATAATATTTTATTTTATTTGTATATTATTCATGAATTTTTTTATTATTATTCATACTAACCTCTCTGCACGCGCTTCCTCGCCTGCGAGAGTCCTTTTTTATAAAAAAATTAAATTTATTTTAGAATTAAAAAAGATAATGGATAGTTGTGTTCCATAAAAATAGGATTTATTATCTGATTTTTCTTTTAATTTTAATTTTTTAAATACGAAAAAGTGTGAATTTACCATATTATCCTCATTTAATTAATATTTTTAATTCTTAATGTTTGCATTAACTAAGGGCATTTTATGGTATTTTGAATGTTTCACCATTCTCTGCCTTTTGCTTTATATATATATATATAGATACGAATAATATTTTATTTGTATATTGTTCATGTAAGTCTATTATATTAATATAGATAAAGTTTAATGTGGCAATATGCAATCACCACATGTTAGTCTGGGCGCATATTGGTTTTGAACGGTAGAGTGCTATTTCGTTAACCAAAGTGTTTGGTAGAACAATTTTTCTTCTATTAATCGTAAAGGTTTCGATACAATCGGATTGATTAACCGTAAGTTTGATTCGGTACAAAAAACAAAAAAAAAAAAAAAAAAAAAAAAAAAAAAAACCCACCTAGTAAATAGTAGCCCATTTGTTTTAAAGGTTAGTTGCAAGTAATATGGAGATATGAACAAGTGTAGGCTCTAGAGAGATCTACAGAAGCTGTATATAATAGGAAATACTGTACTCATTTCAATATGGTGGAAACATAGGAAATATACTTACAATGATTACAATTATCTCTGCCTCTTATTCTTTCATCCTTTCCTCCTAGATTTTTCACACAAATTCTTTTGTCATTATTAATTATTTACCCGTTTTTTCCTTTGGTCAGGAGAGTCAGAACTATATTAACATTTTCCACACATTATTTCACCACAGCAACAGTTTGATAGCATGGCACTGAGACTTGAGAAATTATCATTTTTAATTAGCACATTGGTAAAAGTAGCTATATGCAAGCTCTGTCCATTTTCAGACAAAACTACTTAATGAGATTATGTTCTAAATGTTTCATTTAGGCAGTTTACTTACCTGTTTTCAGATATCATGATTGTCATAGTCTCAAGCATTTGTACATTATCTGTTCATCCTGAAAACAATAAAACCTGACACAGCAATTTAAATAGTAGCCACTAATACATTGCTTGCTTTTCCTCATCATTAACTGAATTGAACAACTTATGGTTATAAACATATACAACAACTGTGCATCTCTTTACTTTTGGAAATGGTGGAAAACTATATAACTAAAATGTAATAAGAGAATAGCTCTCCTCCTACCTTATAGATGAAAAATAAAACATTACCTTGCACTCGAATTGAAACTTGTTGAATGCCATCATCAAAGTGTTGAAGAAAAATGTGAACCTCCTATCATAATTTCACCACCACTAATTAATTAATGGGGTTTTATTATTTTAGGTTTGACCCATTTGAGATGTAGCATCTCTTAATTACAATCCCTTACTTCAAGGGAACACCCTTTGATTCCATCATAAAGAAACAAAACGTGTGTCTTTGGTTTTGCAGCTGCCCCTAAGTTGAACCTTAGGGTGCCTACGTATCCCCTGCGGGATTCAAGCCACTTGTAGTTCAAAGAATTGCAATGAATAAATGACTCATTGGAAAAGAGGGAATTTGAATGAATTTGATTGAAAAAAAAAAATTGTTTTAGTGAATTTAGCTGAATGAATCGGGGATTCGATTTTGATGTGTGTTTGGGGTGAATTTGGTTAATAATAAACCAGGGATTCAAATTTGGTTGTTGTTGCGTCTATTGGGATGCTAGGCTTCTTACGTACCCTTGATGGGATCAAACTGGCGTAGTTCTACAAAGATTTAATTTGCGTGGTTTTGTACCACTTGGGCTTCAATTTGATGATTTGAGAATTAGTGGGCACTTTTAGAATTTAAGCCCGTTAATCCATATTGATTCTCCTTTGGTATCTTCTGAAATTTAGCTTGATCATCGGGGCATGACCAATCATTTATTTGGATTGGAGTCACCGTCACAGCATGGTTGAGTCCCTTAGCACTCCTTTCTAAATAGCTTCTTTGCCACAGTGATTGATTCCTATATTTCTTGTTCGGATTTTGTGGGCATGTTTGATAGCCATCTTGCATTTGAGAATTGAGGCAGATAGACCTGAATGCCATACGCATTTCATTGAGCATCCTTGACCGTCAGTTGATTTAGTTTTTGTGAACCTTTGCTGACACTCTTTGCCACTTCCCAAATGTCATTGACAATGGAATTTTACTTCTGCCATGGTGACTTATCTTGCAAACTTGAGAGTGAATTGTCCATCTTTGCCATCATGGCTTTCTAAGTTAAATCAGAAACTTGAAGGCTTAATAAAGAACACCGCCAAGTCCCAGACCTTGTTTTGTTTTTATGGTGAGGCTTTGTTCATGCCTTTGATTTAGGAACAACTGCTAATTAACCACCATTTGCTTGCCGCGAGGAGAGAACAATTATTGATAATTTTATTGGTCGAAGTTTGAAACTAAGGAGAGAACAATTATTGATAATTTTATTGGTCGAAGTTTGAAACTAAGTGTCCCCAGTTTTGACAACCTGCTAATTGTTGATTGCCCCTTTCCACTGATTCATGTGGGATGTGTTCATTCCATAAGACTTGACAATTTGGTTTGCCATCTGATGTGGACCAAATCTCCTTGGTTTTTTTTCAAATCGCCATGATACTTGAAAACCATTTAAAGATATTGGTAAATAGGCCAATCCTGCAGCAAAGTAACGAGCACCATTGTTTCCTTGCTGCTAGCAGCAAGAGTAATTTGAGCGAGTTGGACCCTTCAAGCTTTGGTTTGAGAATTTGGTCTTTTCACCAATTGGAATTTTTAATGGACAATCCCATTAGGCTTGAGACTTGTAATGAATGAGTCCATTGTATTTGAGGCCGTTGAGTCTTGGAATCTCGGCTTGAAACTGTCTCATGTTGAGAGAGAGATGCACATCAACTTTTAACTGGTCCCAATTAATTTTGAATTGGATTATTGTCTTCATGGTAGACATCTGCTTGCTAGGCCAACTTGTGGCTTTGTTGGTCTCATATTTAACTGACATCACGCAGCCTGGTGACAAAAACAAGTATGTGTTTACCGCAAACACATGTCCCATAATTTGATTAGAACACCCAAGCAAATTACTTAAACCAACTGCTTTCTCTTTGCTAGATTGGAACTCCCAAACCATTAAAGAAACAAACTCGTCCAAATAGGATTAGAGAATTCATGCTTCTTAATACTTTTGCAGATGGCATTGGAGATTTGCTTTGCAGGTTAAAGACTCAAGCGTGGAGGAGCTCCAGAGATGCTTTGTTTTAGATGCAAAATTTTTCCTTAATTGGTGGTGAGTCAAAATGGCGCTCATCTCCTTGAATTGAAGCTGCTTCATTTCTTTTTTTTTTTTTTTTTTTTTTTTTTTTTTTTTTTTTTTGTTTTTAGGGGGTTGAGACTTTTTAGCTTGCTTTGGTTTTTTTTTCTTCTTTTTTCTTTTTTTTTGCTTCTGTTAGCGTCATAGCCCCAGAAATTGATTTCACAAAAATTTGTTTCTGACCTGAAGAAGAGCAAAGCTTTCTTCATTGTTCTCTTTTTTCGGTGGCAGAGTCCTTAAATTTTGATTCAAGGCTTTGCTTTTTGATTCAAAGCCAAAAGTCATCACGTGGTGGGCCTTCTTGGATTTTCAGCCAACAACATTGGCTTGTAAAATCCCTTTCTGATGGTGTTGAGGCGAGTCCTTGATTTCAAGGACATGTTAGCTTGCCACATGCTATGAGAAGAATAAGTCATCTTGCTTTGTTTCTTTGATTTTTTGGACTTTCGTGTGGTGACTTCCACCACATCCCTCTTCTATTTTTTTTTCTTCTATTTTCCTCCTTCACAAGGAGGGCTTTGTTTTCTTTGATGTGCAAGACATCAATTTCCAACCACGATGATGTGCTTTGTCGTGAGCTTCAAACACAGGCTTGCAATTACCCTTTGAGTAATTACATGAATTCCTCTTTTGCTCTAGACTCCATGATGGAATCACCACATCATTGTCCATTCTTTCTTTCCTTTTTGTTTGCAGCCAAGTGTCAGGGGATGACTTTTTCGGAGTCTTCCTTTCGTGCGGCCTTAGACTTGATCGCCTCTCGAAACAAGCTAAGTCAGCCTCCTTCCTACAACACAAGATCGAACCAAGCAAAGAACAATCGCAAGAGCAAGAACACAAAAGAATGCTAAAGAAAGTTTGGGAGAATATCTGCTTGTATTGCTACTCAAATGCTTTACAAGTTGTGAGGTGAGGATACACAATGTGTCATCCCCCTTATATACTATCCATATCCCACCTACCACCACAGTAGGTGGCTAAGATACAATGTCACCTACCAACATCTACCAACTACTGTCACCAACTGTAGTATACCAACTAGTATACAACGAATCTAGACATGTGGGCTAAGAGGTCTAGCATGATCAATCCAACGGGTTAGGCCTTGAACATGCGGGCCGTGACATTCTCCCCCACCTAATCCGGTGATGTCCTCGTCGCCGCGGTAGATCCTTCTCGTTCGAATGCTTTGATGATGTCTTTGTACTTCCACAAAGACTCTTCTTTCTCCCAGTTGCCTTCGGCCTCTGGCAGGCCCTTCCATTTGATGAAGTAATCAAAGTACCTCGGTACACCCTTGAGTCGCACCTCTCGCTTGGCCATGATGCACTCAACCTCCTTGTCAAATGAAGTCACCATCAAAGGTAGAGCTTGTTGAGACTCTCCACGACTTGGCTCCTCGGGGTCGGCATGGTAGGGCTTGAGATTGCTCATGTGGAACACCGGATGAATCTTTAATCGGGGTGGTAGTTCCACACGATAAGCAGCTCTTCCCACTGATCGGATGATAGGAAATGGGCCATCATATCTCCTCAACAATGCCTTGTGTAACTTTCTAGTGGACTTGTGTTGAGAGGGGTTGAGCTTCACAAAGACCATATCACCTGGTTGGAACACAACATCTCGCCTATGCTTGTCCGCCCATTTCTTCATCTTCCGAGTTGCCTTCTCCAATTGAGCTCGAGCCAGCTCATTAGTCACCTGCCACTCCTTGGCCGTCTTGTATGCAGCTAGGCTACTCCCCGTGTAGCCTGACACCACTGTGTTCGGTGTCCTAGGTTGTTGTCCTGTTGCCAACTCAAAAGGACTTGACCCTGTTGGCTCTGACCGCTGCAAGTTGTATGAGAACTGAGCAACATCCAACAACTTTGCCCAATCTCGCTGGTTGGCACTCACATAGTGCCTCAAGTATAGCTCCAACAATGCATTCACCCATTCCGTCTGACCATCTGTCTGTGGGTGAAAGCTGGTAGAGAAGTTCAACTGTGACCCAAGTAGCCTGAAGAGCTCCGTCCAAAGTTTACCAGTAAAGCAAGTGTCGCGGTCACTGATAATACTCGTGGGAATTCCCCAATACTTCACCACATGCTTCAAAAACAAGCGTGCAGCTTCCTCTGCATTGCAGTCCACTGGTGCAGGGATGAAGGTAGCATACTTGGTGAACCTGTCGACCACCACCAAAATTGAGCCACACCCTTCTGACTTGGATAGACTCACAATGAAGTCCATGGACAAACTCTCCCATGGTCTGGCTGGAACAGGAAGTGGCTCTAGCAACCCACCCGGCTGCTTCTGCAATGTCTTGTCTTGTTGGCATACAAGGCAAGTTCGCACGAACGAGTCTACATCCTCCCGCATCTGTGGCCAATAGTAAGCTTCACTCATCAAAGCTAACGTCCGATGAGTGCCTGGATGTCCCCCCCACTTCGAGTCATGACACTCCTTCAGTAGCTCTCGCCTCAGATTGTCCCACCTTGGAACATAGATCCTCTTCCCTGTTGCATAAAGAACGCCATCGTCGAGCCAAAATCTCCTTTTCTTCCCATCTTTGACAAGCTCCAACAAACTTTTGGCTTAGGGATCATGCAACAAGCCTTCTCGTATCCTCTGCATGAGAGAACTCTGGGGTTGTACAACAGCTGCAAGTGCGGCCTTCCTGCTTAGGGCATCGGCAACGACATTTGTCTTTCCTTGCTTGTACTCCAGTTTGTAGTCGAACTCCGCCAAGAAGTCTTGCCACCTAGCCTGCTTGGGTGACAACTTTTGTTGAGACTGAAAGTAGCTTGTGGCAACGTTGTCAGTCTTGACCATGAACTGAGAACCCAACAATTAGTGCCTCCAAGTCCGCAAGCAATGCACTACGGCTGTCATCTCCTTCTCTTGAACAGTATACCTCCGCTCCATGTCATTGAGCTTCCGACTCTCGAAAGCCAATGGGTGTCCATCCTGCGTGAGTACACCACCAATAGCAAAACCTAATGCATCAGTGTGTACCTCAAACGGTTTTCTAAGATCAGGAAGTCTTAGCACGGGTTCCTCCATAAGTGCCCTCTTCAACTCATCGAAGGCATGCTGGCATTGGGGCGTCCACTCCCATGCCTTGTTCTTCTTAAGCAAATCCATCAAGGGGGCGGCAATGGCTGAATATCCCTTGATGATCCTGCGATAGTAGTTGACCAACCCAAGGAAAGACCTTGAATGGCTTGCACCTTGCCCTCCTCCATGAGCAATTGTCCTCCCCGTATCTTGTGACCAAGGAACTCTACCTCTTCTTGGACAAACGAGCACTTCTCCCTCTTCACATATAGCTTGTTCTCCCTCAGAACTTGGAAGACTTTCTGCAAGTGCTCAAGATGCTCCTCTAGGGAATTTCTGTACACCACAATATCATCGATGTAAACCACAACAAACTTGTCCAAGAAAGGATGGAATACCTTGTTCATAAGAGTGCAAAAGGTCGCATGGGCATTAGTCAAGCCGAACGGCATGACAAGGAACTCGTAAGACCTATATCTCGTCACACATGCGGTCTTTGGTTCATCTCCAGGTGCGATCCTCACTTGATAGTATCCCGAGCGCAATTCCAACTTGGTGAAGTACCTAGCTCCTCCCAATTGATCAAACAAATCTGCAATCAAAGGGATTGGATACTTGTTTTTTATGGTCACCTTATTTAGCGCCCTGTAGTCAATGCACAACCTCAGGGTCCTTTCTCTCTTCTTCTGAAAAAGAACTGGGGCACCATAAGGGGCCTTGGACGGTTGGATGTACCCAGCGTCCAACAACTGCTTCAACTGCTTCCTCAATTCCTCCAATCAGGAGGTGTCATCCGGTACGGCGCTTTGGCAGGGGGTTTGGCACCCGGTTCCAACTCAATGGCATGATCCACCTCTCTCCTAGGTGGTAAGGTTTTGGGCAACTCCTTGGGCATGACATCTGCAAACTCCTTAAGGATTGCCTCCACAGTTTTCGGGACGGGTTGGACTTCCTTCTTAACTATATCCATCTTCATAGTTGCAAGGAATGTTGGTTCACCCTTCTTCCAAGACTTGGAAAATTGCATGGCTGACAAAAGCTTGACTCGCCTTGTTGCCTTACCACTGGCACCATGCATGGCATTGCTCCACCCTGTGCAATGCACATAGTATTGTAAAATGGAATGGGGAATGCCTTTACCTTGTCCATGAACTCCATTCCTAGCACGACATCGTAGTCATCCATTGAGATCACGGAGAAGTCAGCTACTCCCTTCCAAGTGGCAATGTGTAGCTCCACACCACGAGCTACTCCATCAATCGGTTTGGCAGTTGAATTCACGGTCTTCATACTGCCTGCTTCCTTCGAGACTCGACACCCAAGTCTCTTTGCTTCCTGCACGGACATAAAGTTGTGCGAGGCACCTGTATCCACCAGGCAACGGGTTGTCTTGACATTCACCATGGCATCGACGAACATCACACCTTTGGCTTGAACTTGTGGTTGAGCGACTTTGGCATGCACAACATTGAAACGGTGAATGGCCCCCATTCCTGCTTCCCTGTCGGCCTCCTCTTCCTTCTCTCGGTTCATAGCATTCAAGGCTTTCTTCTGCGGACAATCTCGCATCATGTGCGCTCCATCGCACAAGTAGCAAGCTAGGTTCGACTTGTCTTTCCCCTTGTCACCTTTGTCATTCTTCCTCCCGGATGACTTGTGACCGTCAGACTTGTCTCCTGACTTGCTACCCTATTTTGGCTTGTTGTCTCCCCCACCAGATCCACTGCTATCTTTCTTTCCTTTGAACTTGGAGTCACCTTGATCCTTCTTCTTGAACTCAACAAGAGACTCAGCTACAGCAATCGCCTCTGACAAGGTTTGGACATGTCTCCTTTGTAACTCCAGCTTGGCCCAATTCTGTAGGCCACTCATGAAGTACATGAGCTTGTCTTCATCCGTCAAGCTAGGCACCTCGAACAATAAGTTGGTGAACGTGGCAACATAGTCCTTCACGCTCCCAGTTTGCTTCAGCCATCCTAGCTTCTCCTTTGCCTCATACTTGGCATTCTCTGGATAGAAATGCAGCATAATATCCTTCTTGAATTCGTCCCAAGTCTCAAGTGTAAATGTACCTTGTTCGATCTCCATAGATCGACGACGCCACCACATGAGAGCATTGTCGGTGAGAAACAACGTTGCCATGTTGATCTTGGGCTCATCATCCTCGAGCTTCAGATACTTGAAATACCTCTCAATATTCCACAAAAATGTGTCTAGCTCCTTTGCCTCCCTCTTCCCATTATAGGATTTGGGCTTGAAAGAATCTAACACCTTGGGTTCCTTTGGAGTCCGGGTCTTGTTCAAGACAGCTTCCTTGCACAAAGCCCAATCTCCTTTCACATCCTTCACCTCCTCACGAAGCGACGTAAGCTCCGCTAAGAAGTGATCCAGCTTGGTTTGGACATCTAGCCGCATGCTATCTAGCGCGGAGTTGAGGGCTCCTTGGAATTGGCCTTGAAGCTCATCCACCACAGCTTCGAAACCACTCTTCGTAAGGACGTCCTCCTCGAGTCGCTGATCGAACTCGACCACGGCAATCTCCATCTTAGAAAGCCGCTTCTCCATCATGGCTACAACATCTCTAGATCGTTCCCTCTTTGATTTGCCCCCACGATCCATATTGACCTTGGACAGATCAGTCTCCACATCGAATCCGCTCTTCAACATGCTTCTTCGAATGATTCGAGCTTTCGCTCTGATACCAACTGTCACAGGATGACTTTTTCAGAGTCTTCCTTTCGTGCGGCCTTAGACTTGATTGCCTCTCGAAACAAGCTAAGCCAGCCTCCTTCCTACAACACAAGATCGAACCAAGCAAAGAACAATCGCAAGAGCAAGAACGCAAAAGAATGCTAAAGAAAGTTTGGGAGAATATCTGCTTGTATTGCTACTCAAATGCTTTACAAGTTGTGAGGTGAGGATACACAATGTGTCATCCCCCTTATATACTGTCCCTATCCCACCTATCACCACAATAGGTGGCTAGATACAATGTCACCTACCAACATCTACCAACTACTGTCACCAACTGTAGTCTACCAACTATTATACAAAGAATATGGACATGTGGGCTAAGAGGTCTAGCATGATCAATCCAATGGGTTGGGCCTTGAACATGCGGGCCGTGACACAAGTCAGACTTGGAGTTGTGACTTTCCCTTGTGACGGGTTTGAGATGGTTTCCACCATCATATGAGATCAATCCTTCCTTATAATTTTGGGTGCTTTACACATTGCAATGACTTGTTTTGGATGCTTTAAGCATCACCAAGACTTGTTTTGGATGCTTTAAACATCACCAAGAGAGAGGCCTTGCAGTGGATTTGTGATGGTTTGCTCTGTACTTTTTGTTGTTGCTTGCTTTCTCTTCGTTGCGTGACTCCTCTCCTCCTGCGATTGTCCCTTCTTTTTCTTTTTCTTTTTCAGGCCTCTTAACTCCCTTTTATAGGCCCCTAATTTTGAGGAGTTTGAGATTAAATGAATAATCACCCCTTGGCCTCAGTGTTTGACACAAACACTTTAGCCGAAATAACGTGTAGGCAAAGAATTGTAATTCCATTTGAACACATCCTCCATAGCTGGAATATTGGTGTTACTAGAATATTGGTGTTATCTTAGGAATTTCAATGTGTGCAGCCATCTTCTTCTTCTTATTTTATTTTATTTTATTTTATTTTTTTCCGTTTCAACACAAAGCATGCGCAGTTTTTTCCGCAACCACAAGGATAGATAGTCTTAGTTAATTTGAGAGCAAATTAAACAATAATTAAAATTTAAAACAAATAGTAGGTCAAAAGAAAAGGTGACTTACTTTGATGTATTTTGAGTATTGAGCATGTATTCGTTATCAGAAGCTACCACTTCCTGATTCTTCGTTGTCATCCGATCTACCAGTTGGGCCAGCCTCGTCATACATGTATGCATGTAATTTTGGCTTTGGGAGTTTCAGTACTCGGCTGAATTCTTCCAAATCACTTTCATACACCAAATGGGCCCCTTATTTCTTTATAATGTAGCTTGCTTGTAGTGTTTTGCAAGATTCGTTTGAACAATAACGCCCTTCAAATGAAAACCAACTACTGCTTGAGGCATCCCTCATATGATCGCAAGGCAAATAAAAAACCCAAAGGTGTGGTGAAAGAAGATTGTTTACACCATAATCAACCGAGCATATCCAGCCTCAAAACGACTAGCACCAAGGTAGACACGCCTTCTCCACTGCCAAAGGAAGACACTCTTCCAAGGTGCTAGACACCTGTTGAAGCTCCCGACTGCCGAAGCTCTCAACTGCCGAATCTAATCTCCAGGACACATGTCACCACCACAGCGACTTGCACAAAGTCCTACATCGAAACTTTGTGCAAACCACCCACTTTCACTTCCCTATAAATAGGGAATAGTACCCAAGTAAAAAGGGTAACTACCCTATCACTTTTAGTGTTGCTCTGCCAAAGTTACTACTCTTAGCTAACTTAAGCATCGGAGAGCCTTCGGCCGGCACCACACCGGTGTCCGAACCTTAACGACTGCTTCTCCTACTTTGTCTTCTGCAGGCTCTTCTCTTACCAAAGGTCCTCACCTTCTCCACTGCTGAAGACAACTCCCTTCTCTCTAAGTTGACCCTCTCCGAAAAAGAGCATCAACAAAGATGTTCCACTCCAGCATTCACATACGGACCCCACAAATATTGAATTTCGACAAATCATAGGCTTGATGTTCCAAATATTCAGAATCTACAAAAACAACACATAGAGCAATCCCAAGCTAGTCACTACATGGTTGTGGAGGCAGAGGCAGCTCCACAGTTACTGAATCTCCCACACTTCGATTATCCACCCACTCTGGAATTTCACTTCCAGGGCATACAATAAACTTACCCTTAGCTACGGGGACCAAAAGTTATGGATATATTCCCTATCCATGTTAATTATATTGGTTGAAGTAGCTATATGCAGGCTTAGTTAATTATCACAACATGAAGTTAAAGAAAATCTCAACTTGGGTTAAGCAGAATTAGATACATCCCACCCAATTTGCTAACCATTTCAATAGAAACCATCCAGCAATGCACAGTGCACACACTTAGGTGTTGAAGTTGTTACAGATTTCCTAGCCGTAAGTTAGTTGTCCTAGATTGTAGGGCTGTTTCAGCTGTTGTTGATAAGTCCTATTATTTAGGAATAAGTTATTTGTTTTGATTCTGATTTAATCATGTACCACGTTGTTAGATTGTAAAAACGTGGGCTGCACATTTCCAATTTTCAGTTATTCCTTTGTAAGGCTATTTATTGCCATAGTTGCTCTTTGATTAAATAACAGATATTATCCCAGCATTTGAGTATTCAGCAAACGTGTGTTTACGTATTTTTGTGAGTGTCCAACCTAGGTTCAACATCTGGTATCAGAGCCCTCTCACAGGGCCTGAGTGAAGCTAGTCTTATCGTTTCTCAACGAAGCCATGACGAGTGAAAGCAGTTTTGTGCAACCTGCAATTCCAAGGTTCGATGGACACTACGATCATTGGAGCATGCTCATGGAGAATTTCTTGCGCTCCAAAGAATATTGGAGCTTAGTGGAGACTGGGATTTCTGCAGAAGCAGATGAGAGTAATCTCACAGATGAACAGAAGAAGACTATTGCTGATCAAAGGCTAAAGGATTTGAAGGCTAAGAACTATTTGTTCCAGGCCATTGATCGAGCAATCCTGGAGACGATATTGAAGAAAGATACCACAAAAGACATCTAGGACTCCTTGAAGCAGAAGTACCAAGGCACAGCACGCGTCAAACGTGCACAGTTACAAGCTCTTCACAAAGAGTTTGAAATTCTACATATGAAGGAAGGGGAATCAGTGAATGAGTATTTTGCACGGACTCTCACCATAGCCAACAAGATGCGGATTCATGGGGAAAAGATGGAAGATGTAGTGGTCATCAAAAAGATTATGAGATCCATGACTGCTAAATATGACTATGTGGTATGCTCGATTGAAGAATCAAATGATCTTGACAGCTTGTCTATCGATGAACTGCAAAGCAGCCTGTTGGTACACGAGCAAAGGATAGGGAGGCACACAGTGGATGAGCAAGCTCTAAAGGTCACTCATGAGGTGTATCAAGGCGGGCGAGGTGGACGCAACAATTTCAGAGGAAGAGGACGAGGAAGGGGTAGAAATGGATTTGACAAATCCACTCTAGAATGTTACAATTGTCATGAACTTGGGCATTTTCAGTGGGAATGTCCTAAAAAAGAAAAGGATTCAAAAGGTTTCTACACAGAAACCAGTGAAGAAATGTTGTTGATGGCTTATGTGGATATCAAGAAGGATGACAGAGAAGAATTATGGTTCCTGGACTCGGGATGCAGCAACCATATGTGTGGCAAGAAGGATGTTCACAGATTTTGATGATACCTTCAGGAAATCCGTGAAGCTAGTGAACAATTCAAGCTTGGCCGTACTAGGAAAGGGAAATGTTCGTATGGAGGTCAATGGAATCATCCAAGTCATTACTGGAGTATTCTATGTTCCGGATCTACGGAATAACTTACTAAGTATTGGACAATTACAAGAGAAGGCCTTGTTTTCCTTATCAAACATGGCAAGTGCAGAATTTATCATCTAGAGAGAGGACTGATCTGGGAGACCACAATGGCAGCAAACCGAATGTTTATCTTACTGGCTCGCACCCATTCACAAGGACAGAAGTGTTTCAAGACTATTACGGATGATCAATCTCACCTATGGCATCGCAGGTACGGACATTTGAGCTGGAGCGGTTTGAAAATCCTTCAACAAAAGAAAATGGTGAAGGGCTTACCAGAATTCCAAGCACACACGAAAGTTTGTGAAGAGTGTTTGGTGGGAAAGCAACAACGAGATCCATTTCCAAAGAAGAGGACGTGGAGGGCATCTCAGATTCTTCAACTTGTGCATGCAGACATATGTGGGCCTATTAATCCGATCTCCAACAGTAAGAAGAGGTATCTCTTGTCTTTTATTGATGATTATAGTAGGAAAACATGGGTTTACTACTTGGTTGAGAAGTCAGAAGCTTTTAACATTTTCAAAAGTTTCAAAGCTAGGGTTGAAAAGGAAACCAGTTTAAGCATAAGGAATCTGCGTACAGATCGTGGGGGTGAATTTATTTCACTGGAGTTCACAGCTTTTTGCAACATGAATGGAATTCAAAGGCAGTTGACAGCTGCCTACTCTCCCCAACAGAATGGCGTCGCGGAAAGGAAGAATCGAACTATTATGAACATGGTTCGAAGCATGCTTACAGAAAAGAACATCCCACGAAGTTTCTGGCCAGAAGCAGTCAATTGGACCATCCATGTTCTCAACAGAAGCCCAACTCTAGCAGTGAGAAACATGACACCAAAAGAAGCTTGGGGTGGCTCCAAACCCTCAGTGGAGCACTTCAGGGTTTTTGGGTGTTTAGCACACGTGCATGTTCCTGATGGCAAGAGAATTAAACTCGATGACAAGAGTATGAAGTGCATCCTACTAGGAGTCAGTGAAGAATCCAAGGCTTATCGTTTTTTTGATCCAATTTCCAAGAAGATAGTGATAAGTCGTGATGTTATTTTTGAAGAAGATAAAGCTTGGGACTGGAGTGACAATCACCAAGAATCAATCATGGCTGATCTTGAGTGGGAAAAGAATGAAGAAGCAGGTTTAGGGAATGATAACAATACATAAGAGTCTGAGACTGATGAAACAACACTAGAGAGCGAGGAATCTGATCATAATGATAAGACAGACACGACTGACATAGAAGGATGTGTTCGAAGACCACCGGCTTGGATGAGAAACTACGTGAGTGGAGATAGTCTCTCCGAGGAGGAAGGTATGGCTCATCTAGCTTTATTTGCTGAGTTTGATCCTATTACTTATGAAGAAGCTGTAAAAAGTGAAAAATGGAAGAAGGTAATGGATGCAAAAATTGAGGCGATAGAAAGGAATAACACATGGGAGTTGATAGAGATGCCATCAAAAGGAAAAATAATTGGGGTCAAATGGATTTACAAAACAAAGCTCAACAAGAAAGGTGAGGTGGATAAGTACAAGGCTCGCTTGGTTGCAAAAGGGTACAACTAGCGATATGGAGTAGATTATGAAGAGGTTTTTGCACCTGTGGCTCGTTTGGATACAGTTCGTGTCATTCTTTCATTTGCAGCAAGGAATGGCTGGACTGTTTATCAATTAGATGTCAAGTCGGCTTTTCTACATGGTGAATTAAATGAAGAGGTGTTCATGGCACAACCTCCAGGCTATGAACAAAAAGGGCATGAGCACAAGGTATATAAGCTTAAAAAAGCTTTATATGGTCTGAAACAGGCTCCTCGAGCCTGGTACAGTCGCATTAATTCATATTTCATGAAGGAATGATTCGAGAAGTGTCCACATGAACACACCTTATTTGTCAAAAGAATGGATGGAGGTAAAATTTTAATTGTCTGTCTTTATGTTGATGACCTTATATTCACTGGGAATGATGAGTCTATGTTCAGAAAATTCAAGCATTCTATGATGACTGAGTTTGATATGACTGATCTTGGGAAAATGAGTTACTTTCTTGGCTTAGAAGTGCTTCAAAGGTCGGAAGGCATCTATGTTTGTCAACGGAAATATGCTCAAGCAGTGCCGGAGAGGTTTAATATGAACCAATGTAATGCAGTCCATAATCCTATTGTTCCTAGATTCAAAATGATGAAAGATGAAGAGGGAGTGGCAATTGATAACACTCTGTACAAACGAATTGTGGGCAGCCTTATGTACTTAACTGCAACGCGACCAGATATGATGTATGTTATCAATTTGATTAGCAGGTTCATGGAACGACCTACTGAGTTGCATCTTAACGCTGCAAAGAGAGTGTTGAGATACTTGAAGGGTACGGTGCGTTTTGGGTTGTTCTATAGGAAGGGAGGAAAAGAAGAACTCATTGGGTACACTGACAGTGATTATGTTGGAGATCAAGATGATAGGAAGAGTACTTTTGGGTATGTTTTTATGCTGAGTTCAGGGGCAGTTTCATGGTCCTCAAAGAAACAACCTGTGGTCACTTTGTCTACAACCGAAGCTAAGTTTATAGCTGCAGCATCGAGTGCGTGTCAAGCAGCTTGGTTAAGGAGGATCTTGCAGTAGCTCAATCATGAACCTCATACACCCACGACAATCTATTGTGATAATAGTTCTACTATCAAGCTCTCAAAGAATCCAGTGATGCATGGGCGTAGCAAACACATAGATGTTCGGTTCCATTTTCTTCGAGAGCTTACCAAGGATGCAGTCGTGGAATTGGTCCAATGTTCTTCACGGGAGCAGGTGGCAAACATCATGACCAAGCCTTGTGTTTCAGAATTTGAGGGAGTTATTGGGTGTGTATCCGCTCATGGATATAAACTGATTGCTGACAGCTTTCAGTTTAAGGGAGGATGTTGAAGTTGTTATAGATTTCCTAGCCATAAGTTAGTTGTCCTAGATTGTAGGGCTGTTTCGGCTGTTGTTGATAAGTCCTATTCTTTAGGAATAAGTTATTTGCTTTGATTCTGATTTAATCCTGTACCACGTTGTCAGATTGTAAAAACGTGGGCTGCACATTTCCAATTTTCAGTTATTCCTTTGTAAGGCTATTTATTGCCACAGTTGCTCTTTGATTGAATAATAGATATTCTCCCAGCATTTGAGTATTCAGCAAACGTGTCCAACCTAGGTTCTCAACATTAGGTTCATCAACATTAGGCCTTTTTCCAATGCTAATGAGAACACCCTTCGGACCCAACACATCAATGACTTCAAAATCGACAATGTAGTTGGTCTCCTCAGAAGTGATCAAAGTTCACACAGCAACCAACTCCACGGAACTTGGATAGTATTCCCAGTACTTCAACTCTGGCTTTGCCAATTCTTTTCCAGAGAACTGAAACGAAATTAAGAAAGGAAAACCATTATAAAAGATACAACATAAGAAATTAGCAATGAAATTTAGCTGATTTTGCTTAACCCCATTAGGCTATGTCCAGCACCTTTCAAAATCTAATTATGTTAATTGCTCCACTTCTACTAATTTTGTTGTAAAGCAATTAGCAAAGATGCAAATTTACACGCCTGCTGCAAAATCCAAAAGCAGCTATAATCGTAAAGCAGCAATGAGCAAGCAAAATAATGCAGCAAATTTCCTTCACTCACATTCCTTTAGAAACTCTTATGCTCCGTTTGGATGAAGGAATTGCAAATTACATAGAATTTTAAAATGACGGAATTTAGATTTCCGTCATTTCAATTTCTGGCAATTGAAGATTTCAGTGTTTGGATTTATGTATGTCGAATTTTGTAAATGATAGAAATTGAAAATTTCAATGTTGGATAGCTCATGTAAATTATAAATGAAAGAAATGAAATATTTCGAAAGAACAAAAAAACTAATAATCGACATAGAAGGTATTCCTCGAAGTATGAAATAACATATTGTTTGATGAACTAAATAACTCAACTTAAACAAAGAAAGCATATTAGCAAACCAAATCACTCCCCACGTGCAATGAACATCAGTAACATACTTTCTTTCTTTTTTTCTCAATTGGGAGTGCCTATGGAATTAGAACTAGAAGCAATCAGCAATCAAGACCCTAATACTTCTTTTTCACTTGGCAAAAGACCAATGACCAAAGAAACTGAAAGAGCTTTGATTAAAAAGTTGCAAACAAAATTATAGGAATAAATGATGAAATCAATGAATCACTATCATAAGACTTAATTCAAGTCCCAAAGAATGAAGGAGCACCTTGGCCAAGCTGCAGCTTACTGGCAAGTTGGTGTAGCTTACAATCAACATCTAATGGCTCACACAAAGCGATAAAGCTAACAAATAACTATAGAGCAAGGCGATAACACAAAGTGATAAAGCTAGCAAACAACTACAGAGCTGTACCATAAACATCAATCACACACCAATATCCATGGGCATAGAGTATTTTGTTAAAACTTCCCAAAAATCCAGCCATAGTGCCGCAAAGATCACAAAGCCCAACACATTCATAAATTTAGTCAGAAACACCCAATTTTGATAGCCATTCAGAAACCATGGTAACCCTAAAATAAAAAATATATAAATTGAAGGAGAGAAAGGCTTGAAGACTAACCTTCAAACTTGATCCAAAGAGCCACGTAACCCGAAGAACTCCTTGTCCTTACTTCTCTGGCTATACTCGGTTTCATAGGTTTTTGGTACTGTTTTTTTTTTTTAATGAAAAGTTGGTGGTGTTTTTTTTTTTTTTTTTTTTTTTTTTTTTTATGTAAGTTTGGCACACTGGAAAATATGAATTCCCACACTACGAAAATTGTGAAATGACGCCTATTTTGGTGGAAATTAAACTCAGGAATTTGATGCCTCAATTTCCATGATTTTTTCCACGCATCATTTAGTAAGTTCGGCGTTTAAGTTGCCAAACAAGGGAATTGTCAATTTCTCTTCTTCAATTCCCGACGTTTACCTAAATTTCGAGTTATTTTCCCTCATCCAAACGGAGGGCTAAGGAAAACGGCTAATTCAATCGCAGGCCTACACTTTTCCATATCTCCATATTCCTTGTAAATAACCTTAGCTCTAGAGAAATCTACAGAGGCTGTCGTTTTTGCCCCCTGAACTATGTCATAATTGTCAATTTGGTTCTTAATTTATTTTGTTGATAAATTAAGGATACAAACTTTATAAAAATAGTCAATCTCCCCTTACCGTCAATTTTCTAAATTCCATCCTACTTTCCATCCATAATAACGGCTAATTCATAAAAAAGGGCTTGCTCAACTTACTGCCAGCATTCCTAGGCATTTGTACCTCCCCCTCTTTCTTCTTCCCAGTTGGCTGAAGGAAGTTGAGGTTCCACCCCCAAACCAATTGGCAATGGGGGGGAGTAGCCCAACTCCTTATAAGCCCTTGCTAGGTTTCTTAACTTTCCAATGTGGGACTCTTTAGCTTCACATTCTCACATTGGCTTCCCCATTGACATTTCAAGAATATGCAGCCAAAGAAGAAGAGCCCAAAACCAGGGAGAAAGAAAAAAAAAAATCCCAGAAAATTGAAGCTTAAAGTTTTAATCAAAATACACTTCAGAAGAAAGCAATAGTGAAAGAAAAATGAAGAACTAAGAACTGATATCTTAAATCCAGAAACTGAATCCAAAAAACAAAGGAAAGGCAACAAAATCCACTCATTTTAACGCGGGCACTATTCTCAAAGCTCTAAAGCAACAATTGATGGACACTGATCATAATTTGATTGAATTAAAATGATTGTGCGATGGAATTGTTGAACCCAACAGTGGAGAAAACTCCACATATCTGCAAGACCCAAAAAATACCAGCAGTAATTTTACTAATTAATTAATTAATTCTATGAAATTTTACTTAATGGAATTAGTGTTGATCTTACGATTGATTCCTTCCAGTGTGAAGGAGATTAAGAGATGATATGAGGAGAGAGATGGAGAAAGAGAAATAGAGGAAGAGAGAGAGAGGGTAGGTGAGGGGTTAGAGAGGGAGGGGGTTGTTTGAGTTAAGAGTGCTGGAAAAACAACAATTAGTGACTAATAAAAATAGTTACATATCAACAATATATAAATACCAACAAAGTTAACTTTATAACAAACTGTAATTTGGAATACAACAAACAATAAATAAATAAACTGATTTAAATAGAGTAAATAATAAATAAATATCCATTTTTTATAATTAAATATTAAATATTATTTACATAATATTCAATGCCCAAATCGAATTTAAAGGCCAATTGGCTTTCACTCTAACTTCCATTTACTATGTATGGGACTACCACATTCTTTCTACCAATGTGAGCCAAAAATTCCTTGAATTTCATTCAAACTTCCAATAAAGAGTATGGTGGTTGACGGGGAGGTTTGGGCGGTGGCAATGAGGGGTGGCTTGATATGTGGGGGGAAAGGTCAGTTGCTTGGTTTTTAATTTATTTCATGTCTCTTTTTTCCATTTGGAACTTTTTTTTTTTTTTTTTTTTTTTTATTTTTTTAACTTAATTAGATGGAGTTCGAAAGTCTAACAGAAAGGGGGAGATTGGCTATTTTTTATACATTTCCTATCCTTAATTTATCAAAAAAAATAGATCGAGGAGTAAATTAACAATTATGACATAGTTCAGGGAGCAAAACGACAATTTACCCTAGAAAGTACTATACTCATTTCAATATAGTTGAAACAAAGGTGTTTCACCCGTTTTGTTTTGGTTCCTGTGATGGTAGGGTAAAAATCCCCATTGACCTGGAAACTACTTGTGGTCAACAGGTCAACTTTCTTCTACCTATCAAGCAATATTAAAACAAATAAGAGCTGGAAAATAAGCTGAACTGTTTGAAATAAAACTGCCTATCAAGCAATATTAAAACAAATGAAAACTGCCAAGTCCGGAAAGATAGAACATTGGACTTTGACTTCTGCCTGTTTTGGCGGATCGGGGTGGACTGGATAAGTCTATACTGGAATTGCACGTCAGTATCTTCAACTGATGAGATTCAGCTGGAAATTGATACCAATGTCAAAATTGACAGAGCTTTAATATGTTTTGGCCATGGAGAGGCTTGCTAGATGGGCAGAATTGATGTTTCTTTAGCCTGGATATGACTAAAAGTGGCTGGATTGATGATTGCTGGCCTGGAGCTTCACCACAGTACCTGTTTCGCTTGATTATGAATCAACCAAGAACCATTCTGGCATTTCTGAGTGCTTGGAACGTCCCTATAAATTTTTTGTGGTTTTCATGTTGTGAAAAAACCCAATTTCTACTTAATTTGGCTTGAGCTGAATCAAATTTGTAACGATAGAAAGCTGAACTATGTTTGATTCTTCTGAGCTGGATCGTATTTGCAACGAGAGAAATCTCGTTTTCTTTCGCTGGGGAGCTGCTTTCCCTGGGTTGGACTGGAGTCAGAAACCTGAGTTTCACCTGTTTTGCTAAAACCTGAATGGCTTTTGGAAGCTAGATAGCTTGATTTCTTCTGAGTTTGAAGGCTTTTGAGATCATGTGATCTTTGATTTTTGTTAGTTTTGACTCTGAGTTTTTCTTTTGAGTGATTGGTTTTTTTGTTTTTTTGTTTAAGAGATGTTGATTATCTGTCTTTGTGAGCTCTCATCCTCCTGTATTTGTTGGCATTTCAAAAGTGCTTTGCTCCTTTATAAAGTGGGAGTTACTACAAAAATTATTAACTATTGCGAAACCAGCTTGCATTGTCGAAAAACTTAGTGGAATTTTTGTCTGTCAATCCAAATTGCCATGATGATTAATTTCTTTTCGCTCCACTTTCTACCCATTCCCACCATTTCCCTGGAATTCCTCTGCCCTTTTCAGCTTTCTAGGCAACTCAAGAAGCATGAGCAGAATTACCCCATTCATGATTTAGAACTTGCTGCAGTTGTGTTTGCCCTTAAAATTTGGCGACACTACTTGTATGGTGAAACATGTCAGATTTTCACTGATCATAAAAGTCTTAAGTATTTATTCACTCAGAAGGAACTGAATATGAGGCAAAGGCATTGGTTAGAACTAATCAAGGATTATGATTATACTATTGAGTACCACCTTGGTCGAGCTAATGTCGTAGTGGATGCTCTAAGCAGAAAGTCTGTTTGAAGCTTAGCTCATCTCCGAATGGCTTACCTTCCACTATTGATGGAGTTAAGAAAAGATAGGGTGGAATTGGGAATAGGTCACGAAGGATGGTAACTTGCAAGTTTCCATGTGAGACCTATACTTGGTGAGCGGGTGATTGAAGCCCAACTGGAGGACCTTATACTTTGTATGATAAGACTAGAAGTAGAGAACGGTACATGGATGGATTATGCAATGAGAAGTGATGGAGCCTTGGTAATGAGAACTCGTTTGTGTGTACCCAGGAATGAGGCTATGAAAAGGGAAATCTTGGATGAGGCTTACTGTTCAGTTTATACTATGCATCCAGACAGTACCAAGATGTATCGTACACTTCGAGAGCATTATTCGTGGCCTCGTATGAAAGAGGACATAGCTAAGTATGTGAACAGCTTAATTTGCCAACAAGTGAAGGCGGAGCAACAAAAACCAACTGCATTTATGCAACCCCTTCCAATTCCTGAATGGAAGTGGGAACATATTACAATGGATTTTGTTTTCAAGCTTCCTCGCACCCTGAAGGGTCATGATGGAATTTTGGTGATAGTTGACCGACTCACTAAATCTGCTCACTTCTTACCCATCAAAGAAATGTAATCATTGGTTAAACTTGTCAAACTCTTTATGGATGAGATAGTGAGGTTGCATGGAGCGCTTGTGTCCATTGTATCAAATAAAGATGCTCGGTTTACTTCACGTTTTTGGAAAAGCTTACAAGAAGCTTTGGGTTCTAAGTTAAAATGAGATTAGGATACTCACCTTTCTTTAATGGAGTTTGCCCACAATAACAGTTGTCATTCGAGCATTGAAATGGCTCCTTATGTGCCACATCCAGATCGGCTTCGTCGTAGTACAATATTGTCTGTTTTGGGCCCCATGCGGTTTTGTTCTTGTGAACTCACGAGCAACTTCCCAGTAGGTCACTCATCCTAGGATTTCTCTAGCCCAAACTCGCTTAACTTCAGAGTTCCCATGACTCTGAAGCCATTGAGCTCTCAAAAGGCCTCGTGCTAGATGGAGGCGGGCATGTACATATAAGGCACATCACTCCCGCTCTGTTGGTCGATGTGGGATGTTACAATCCACCCCCCTTAGGGGCCCGACGTCCTCGTTGACACACTCGCACCACATCGCAAAATGGCTCTGACACCAAATTGTCACATCCCAAAATCGGCTCTTCCGTAGCACGATATTGTTCGCTTTGGGCCCCCCTCTCTACCCTCACAGTTTTATTTCTAGAAACTTATGAGCAACTTCCCAGTGGGTCACCCATCCTTGGATTGCTCTAGCCCTAACTCGCTTAACTTCGGAGTTCCCATGACTATGAAGCCAGTAAGCTCCCAAAAGGCCTCGTGCTAGATGGAGGCGGACATGTACATATATAGCACATCACCCCATCTCCTTTGATCAATGTGAGGATATTGCAATCCACCACCCTTAGGGGCTCAACATCCTCGTCATCACACTTGCACCACACGGTAGAGTGGCTCTGATACCAAATTGTCACACCCCGGATCGGCTCCGCCGTAGGACGATATTGTCCGTTTTGGGCCCTATGCCCTCACAGTTTTGTTTGTGGAAACTCACGAGCAACTTCCCAGTACCCATCCTGGGATTACTTTAGCCCAAACTCGCTTAACTTCGGAGTTCCCATGACTCCGAAGCTAGTGAGCTCCCAAAAAGCCTTGTGCTAGATGAAGGCGGGCATGTACATATAAGGCACATCATCCTTTCTCCGTTGGTCGATGTAGGATGTTACATTATGAGGCTTTGTTCGGAAGACAATGTAGGACTCCTATATGTTGGTGAGAGAAAACTGGAGAAACTAGATTTTATAGAAGAGACAACAGACAAGGTAACGGTAATCAAACAGAAACTTAAAACGGCACAAGATCGACAAAAAAAGTTATGTTGATAACCGGTTCAAGGTTCTTGAATTTACAGTCAGTGATTGGGTGTTCTTGAAATTATCTCCGTGGAAAGGTGTTATGAGGCTCCGGAAACGTGGGAAGTTGAGTCCTCGTTATATTGGACCTTATGAAATTGTTGAACGCATTGGACCCGTGGCTTATAGACTTGTCTTAACTGAGAGGTTAATGTACTATAAGTTTTGTAACCTCGAGGTTGGTATATTTTGAAAGTGTTTTGTTTTAGTTTCCGAGATCGATAAAACTCTAATCCAACCTATTTTAACTAACAAAAAGGTTTAACGTGTTTCGTGACTACTTGGGAATATGACGCTCTGGTGATTAGGTATTGTATTATCATAATTCTTGAGGAACTTGCCGTTGTAACGTGACCGGAATTTCGGGGCATGACATGTAAAATCACCTTTACTATTTTTCTATCACCTCAATTTGTCAAAATTACTTGAACAAAATTTCCAATGTTTTTTCTTATACTTACAATAATTTAAAATAACCTCAAAAAGTAATTTAATTTAATTTCAAAAATTCTAACTCCTTCATTTAACACCAATATTTGAGTTTATACACTTTAACTTTCTACAATTACACCAAATTAAAAATAAATACAAATTTGTGTAGGATTGACTCTCTGTCCTATCCTAGGGTTGTCCTCGTATATTTTTATTCCCTACCTATTTGGGCTCTTTTGAGTCTCATTTTTTTGTTTATTCCTCCCCTTTGGTTCAAGGTTTAAGAGCTTGAGAATGGGTATGAAATTGCATTTCCATGTTTGGTAAGTGCATCTTTGGGAATGCAATACCTGACTCATGACTATGAACTTCCCATATACGGGGAAATTTTATACTCTTGCCTCACCTTGGGAATTCTTTTCCTTCAACATGGGAAATCATTTAATGTAGTGTTTTTGGATAAACTTACTCTTGTTATACTTTTCAAATACCACTTTTGATCTTTAAAAAAAACTTTTTGTATTTCTTTTTCTTTTTGGACTAATCAAAAGTATTGTTGCTAAACAACTCTTCATGCTTAATACTACACAAACCAAACATGGGAATGGGTAAAAATGACCTTTCTTGGTCGTCATTGTTGGAAACAATCAGTAACTTGTATAATATAACATAATATATATAAGGCTTTTAAATGAATCAATATATAACAGCAGAAAATTACAGATACAAGAGTTTGTATTAACCAGAAATACTAACTTGCAGAGATGATAGAGGCTAGCAGATTTGCTATGTCCTTAGACAGTATTTTGCCCCCACTCCTGTGCTTGTGGTTCTGCAGATGACTGTCCACCAGGATACAACCATCAAAACCAAAATTCTAGCACTTGAATTTTGGTATCTGGCGAACTACAATATGGGTACTCTCAATGGTTTTCAGTGTTGTGTGAGATGTATTGGGTTTCAAAGTTGGTTTTGTTCTCTATACGTTTGGCTATTTAAATAAGCCTAAGACACCCCTTGGACATATCTGTTCAAACATATATGTCTAAACTTTGAATTTCAAACTAACTGAAGTTATTCGAAGTTCAAAAACTTAAATATATAAAAATATATATATTTAATTTAAATAAGGTCAACAAGTCCAAAGCCACTTCAGAAAAACCCAATTGTGTTTATTATAGTGAAAGATCCCTACTCTTATAAAGAGTGTAGGAAACTCTTTTCCCACTCAAACTCTAACACTCATTTCTCAACGTTCCCAAACATATGAATGAACATCCTCCATTCCTATTTCGTGAGATTAGACATGAGAATTTCATTATCAGGAAATTCAATCCACGAGCCAATAAAGAAAATATAGTTAAGCAGTCTTTGCTCATTAGCCATACATGTGGCATGCCGAACCATGGGGTATTTTATATTTATGTACCATGTGGCTGGTGTACCATCTAATACACATGGAATATGTAAAAATATTTTATTTTTAAGTCCTATGCATATTGGATAATATTTCTACATGTTCTATGTGTATTGGATGGTACACCAACTATATAGTGTAACCAGAATATGCAAAAATTACACTGCTATATGTACAGAGAGTATAAAGGGAGAATTTTTTTTTCAGGTTTGTGAATATGATATTGTTGGGGTTGATTTTAAATTTTCAGAACTTTTGAGAAGATTTTAAGGCAGTTGGCAACTAGGAAGGGGAAAGAAAAGATGATGGGTTCACGGGCCAAAGTTGTGTATAGTCAACGGACGGATGGAGATGAATGGCCTTCGTGGGGTCCACTGGCAACTGGTGGTGGGCTTGCGAAGGAGCCTCCCTGACCACACAATAGAGTTCACGGGTGCTACAACCAGTCGCATAAAAAAATATAACACAAATCCAGACAAGTTTTTTTAATAAATAACATAAAATCAACTCATGCTATTATTATCTTATAATAAAAAGACAGCCCCACCAAACCAAACGTAAAATGAAAACACAAAAAAGTGGAAGACAAATCAAAATCATTTTGAAAGAGAACCACAGAGAATTTTAATCCACCCAAAAAGATGGACTAAGATCTCTCGGGCTCTCTCGTCCACATAAAAGATTCATTCCCCGTCACTTTTTCTTTACCTTATTTTCTTGCATGGATAGTGGATTGTGTGTGTATATATGTCATGAAATAAAAGAAAACTACGAGACATATATATAGTTTTTCTTCCATACGGACGTTATTATAGACAAAGAGAAAAGTAAAGAATGTAGTAGAATACATGGTGTTAATACAGTAATAACATCCGAACATAGGTGAATTTCTGTATAGAAATTTGCAAAAGCCTTCTAACATCATGGATTCATGAACATGCAAAGAAATTTTCTAAGAAACGTGATTAGTCCAAAATAAAGCATGTTTAAACTCTTACGAATAACCAATATGAACAAACTCACCAACTTTTCATTCGAGTCCTTTATTATAAAACCTACAGCTTCTTTCTAGTACGTATTTCGTATTTCGGACTGAGCAATCAAAATTCAATTTTAAGAACTGAAATTAATATATAATGTATTCCTATTTTTCTTTTTCTTTTTTAAAAATCATTGCACTTACATATTGAAGGCATAAAAGCGCACTAGATTCTTTGGTTATCTAGTATTTATATATGTCAAAGTACAATGTGTGGTGAAAATGCGATCGTAATTCGCATGCAAGCGAAAAGTTTAGGCAGCAAAAGCCCCATGAGAGTCTGAAACTCGAAGATAATCGACGTGAAAATAGAAAGAAAATGCCAAAAACATGTCCAAGAGTTGGTTTGTTTTTATTTTTGAGCAGTAGTACGTACGGTTAGTATATATGATTTGATTTCAGCCACAAATATAATTGGAGGGCCACTCATCACTCTGGTTTATGTCCTGCTCAAAAGTCCCTAGCTAGCCTCTTACCCTACCCCATCCTATTCCTACTCCACGTATAATTCCAAATTTCTGCCCTGTCATCACCCATAAAATTATTATTCATATATACTAGAGTTTAAACTCCAAAACAACAAAAACCAAAAAGTATATAATAATCATCTTATTATTTAAAATGTACGTATTAATTATGTATAACATTATGCAGAATAGTTATTCTCTTGTCTAGACGTCTGCACGGTAATAATGTATGGACGTCCGTATAGAAAAAAATCTGTTATATAATATATATATATTTACTTAACATTATTTATGGTGAATTGGAACTAGGTCTGGAGTGGCCCTGGCCCCCCTCCCTCCATATTTTTCTCTCTCATTTATTATATTATATATCATGAAACTATTGAATATTTAGGTGTTTTATATACTTGTATTTTCTACTTCGGTCCCCCTAATTTTACAATTCTAGCTCCGTCCCTGATTGAGACTCAACATTTTATCCAACAAATGGTATATTTGAAGAGAAGATTAACAAATAATTAAACTTTGTCTAGATATGTATACATGTTTGTTTTTCATAATAATAAGTTACCAGGCTGTAAAGTGTGGAGACAGCACTAGGCCATGGTCCAAAGTAGAACCGATATAAAGTAGTCTCTATAATCACAACTGTACAAATTGGATGACATATGCAGACCAAAACAAACTTTTCGTATGTGTAGATATTATTGAGATTTCATGTTATTTAATCGCAAGAGAGTAGAAATAAAAACAAAAGTGTACAACGAGAAACCAACAGATGCCACTCAGCAAGCCACGTGAACTATATATTATATATATGCAATTTTCCAAGACAAAAATGGAAAACAGAAATAGAAAGTAGATAAGTATGCACGTGAATTATTTATATAAACAAAATGTACGTATATTGCAGATTGAAAAAGCTTGACTTGCCGCCAAAGAAACAAATTGAATGGAAAAAAAAAAAAAAAAAAAAAAAAAAAAAAAAAAAAAAAAAAATTAAATTATTGAATTAAAAATAATAGGAAAAAAAAAAAAAAACAGAAAGCAGTAGAAGTCCTTATTTAGCTTGCAATATATTGAGCTTGAGAGAGAGAGAGAGAGAGAGAGAGAGAGAGAGAGAGAGTGGAAAGCTAGCAGAGAAAAAAACAGCAGAAACTGAGAGCTTGTTGCATATTTCAATGAAGAAACAAGGCAGTGAGATAGAGGCAGTAGGCATCAACTACAAGATTCACACACACAACAACAACAAAAACAACAGATCAGATCAGAAGAACCCTTTTAAGATCTTGAGCCAGAATCAACGCCAACCGCTTGATCATCAGAAGCAAGCAAAAGTAGCAGTGGCAGTGGAAGAGGATGATCATGATATTCTGGTTGCAGGTGCAGGATCGGAGGGAGGAGGACGAGGAGGAGTTGGACAAGTGCTAAAGGATGTGAACTTGCGAGCAAGGCCATGGGAAATCCTAGCCATTGTGGGACCAAGCGGAGCTGGAAAATCATCTCTCCTCGAGATTCTCGCAGGCAAAATCACACCACAAACCGGTTCAATGTTTGTGAACCAAAAGCCAGTGGACAAAGCTCAGTTCAAGAAGGTTTCCGGGTACGTGACACAAAAGGACACCTTATTTCCTTTGCTCACGGTGGAAGAAACCCTAATGTTTAGCGCCAAGCTAAGGCTGAGAGTCCCTCCAGCTCAGCTCAGCTCCCGGGTGAAGGCCCTAATCGAAGAGCTGGGCCTCAGTCAAGTGGCCCGGGCTCGAGTCGGAGACGACAGGGTTCGGGGCATTTCCGGTGGAGAGAGGAGGCGGGTTTCGATCGGAGTGGACGTGATCCATGATCCTGAAGTGCTCATCCTGGATGAGCCAACTTCGGGACTGGACAGCACCTCTGCGCTTCAGATCATTGATATGCTGAAGAGCATGGCTGAAACCCGGGGCAGAACCGTAATTTTGAGTATTCATCAGCCCGGGTTCAGAATTGTAAAGCTATTCAATTCAATTGTGTTTCTGGCTAAGGGCTCGGTGCTCCACCATGGCACTGTGGATCAGCTGGGCCTGAATTTAAGACTCATGGGATTGGAGCTTCCTCTCCATGTCAACCTCGTTGAGTTCGCCATGGACTCCATCGAAACCATTCAAAAACATCATCAACAACAACATCGTCAACATCTTAACACAGCGGAAGGAGAAGGCGAAGGCGAAGGCGAGACGAGTCCTAGTGGTAAGTTGACCCTGCAACAGCTCTTTCAGGAGTCTAACAAGGAACAATCTTCCATTAAGGTAAATAATCTCCACCACGAAGAAATGGGAATCAACAATAAACCCAACCAAGATTCTCCCGATTTTGCGAATTCGAGATTGCAAGAAACCATCATTTTGACTCACAGATTCTCCAAAAACATCTTCCGGACAAAGGAGCTGTTTGCCTGCCGCACCATTCAAATGCTCGTCTCTGGTTTAGTTTTGGGCTCCATCTTTTATGACCTCAAACATGATTTAACGGGAGCAGAGGAAAGGGTAGGTCTTTTCGCATTCATCTTAACATTCTTGCTTTCATGCACCACAGAAGCACTGCCAATCTTTCTGCAAGAGAGGGAAATTCTGATGAAGGAGACTTCTTGCGGGAGCTACAGAGTCTCCTCCTACGCCATTGCCAATGGCTTGGTTTATTTGCCATTTCTGCTTATCCTGGCCATCCTATTCACTGTGCCTTTGTACTGGCTTGTTGGGCTCAACCCCAACTTCATGGCCTTCTTTCATTTCCTGCTTTTGATATGGTTGATATTATACACTGCGAATTCAGTGGTGGTGTGTTTCAGCGCACTCGTGCCAAATTTCATCGTGGGAAACTCCGTCATCGCGGGCGTCATGGGATCGTTCTTTCTCTTCTCTGGCTACTTCATATCAAAGCATGGGATTCCAAGCTACTGGATTTTCATGCATTACATATCGCTGTTTAAGTATCCGTTCGAAGGGTTTCTGGTCAACGAGTTCTCTAACTCTGACAAGTGCTTGGAGTATTTCTTTGGGAAATGCATGGTCACAGGGGAGGACGTTCTGAGAGATGCAGGGTATGAAGAAGAAAGTAGGTGGAGGAATGTGGTGGTCATGGTGTGCTTCATTTTGGTTTACAGGTTTATGTCTTATGTCATTCTGAGATGCAGATGCTCCCAAAGGGGGCTCAAACCAGCTTTTCTTTTTTAAACAATTATATATATTTCAGTATTATATATTCTCTCTCTCTGTGATCACGAGTGTAATATAAGATGGTTCACATGTCTTGGAATTTAGCACTTGATAGCATCCCGATAACAAATATCAGATTCATAAGAAACAAAATATACAAATATTTCCTTCAACAAATTATTGTATATAACACACTTATATATGTTTTGTTTTATATTTCCTACAATTCTATCATAAGAGTTTACAAAACGAGGGAGACGTCCATTTTAGGACCTAGGGACTTTTAGATCTAAGTCCAAAATGTTTGGTTGTCATTAGGTCTAGTCCAAGTCTTTCTGTTTTTTGATTCAAGTTCTTGGCTTTCCTTCTTCAATTTTTATACCAATTTTGCCCTTTAAACTAAAAATGTAAATAAATGTAAAAAAAAAAGTGATTTCAGGCATCTTTTCCTCATTCAAATTTTGACTTCCAAATTTTTTATTTCCATGTATGCAACAATAAAAAAAAAAATTCATCAATAAACAATCTATCTATGTACGCGGTAAAAACTCATTTAACAAATACACATTTTTTTCTTCAACTTGTAACCTGACCCAAAGGTAATAAAAACAAGAATATGTTAAATAGGTACAATGCATAAGATAAAATGATGAAGACATGAATTTATATAGACATATAAACTTGCCTATCCTTACTGATAGGTAAATTAAGAGCATCTA